AATTGTTTCATTTGTGTGATAATAGTATAATGCATCATTTATAAATTACGCTCTATCATAGTGGTAGCAAATACGGCGTGTCGTGTTCTAACCCGTCATTTTATTTTAAAAATATCTTTAATAATGCCAAAATTGATAAGTCATCATCATCATCAGCCTATAGGTGCCCACTGCCGAGCAAAGGCCTCTTCTCATACGGAGAAGGTTAGAGCATTAAATCTGGAGTTGGCGATTTCAAACTTATAATTAGAAATTATAAGTCCAGGTTTCCTCACGATGTTTACCTTCACCGTATGTCAAATTGATAAGTATTATGACTAAAATAGACATCAAACTATGGAAATGGTTACAATCAAATTAGCAAATTTTAATATGTATGTAGGTAATCTCTTTGCTAACGACTGCGAAGACAAAAGACAAGATGTTTCGTAAAATAAATTGGAATAACTAATTGACAAGTTATAACGACTTTCAACTCAAATTAAGCGTCATAAAGACATAATAGAGGCGGTAATACATTTCATGGGCAGACCAATTTAAAGCAAACGCACAAAAAACAGCATAATACAACAATAACATACATTAATTAGATGAACTACCAATATCGGGGTGGTCCAATTAGCAATCATTCTGATATGAAGTGGAGTATGAAGACAATTCACTTTGAATTATTGAAAGGTATAGTAATATTAATAAATTTTCCAAGAGAACGCGGCCGAGTATGTATAATGTATGACGAATGAACATGACATGTCTCTCGGCTAATTAATGTAAGCACTGCGCAGGAGTTAATTAATTGTCGGCTACCCATGTAGCGCATGAAACATTTATAAAATTCATAACAGAGCTAATTATGAAACATGGACGCGCCTGCGCTTTGCGCTACCCGCGGGGAGTCGGCCGCGCGCCTCGATCTCCACTTTAGTAAAAACTAACAATCGTCCACTGACTTTTCTTGTTTATTAAATTACTGGTGAGCATAGTCTATAGATATTCCCACCGCGATCATAAATCGAGTGTACTTGAATTAAATATTAAAATCTTTAGCAAAAACTCTACTGCTTACTGCATAGATGGAGACTCGAATTCATTTTTTTTTTTTCGTCTGTGGTTTGTATGTTCATGTCTAGATACTAATTAGTAATGTGTTTAGTTGCTTTCAATGGCCATAAGACATATTAACTTATTATAAATTACATAATAATTATGACGTTTCTTTAAAATTACCTAAGTGTATGATACTTAGAAATCTTATCCTGGTTTATTTTAGATTCGTATATGGTGCTAGAATGTAGTTCTGTTTGATTTATTTCAACTTTGGTTCTCTCAGTTGACAATTATCATTTTAAGAAAAATCTCTAAGCCATTATCTGCTATAATTGTGGGAGAGCCACAGCTTCACAGAGAACCGGCGTGAAACAAACACAACATTGTATTTCACCACATGAGTGAGGTTGGCCCAACCCTTCTTGTCTTCCCCCATTCCCTAAATCTCCGAAACCCTAATCCCCAAAAGACCGGCAACGTAACCGTAACTCCTCTAATATTGCAGGAGTCCATGGTCGACGCCAATTGCTTACCACCTTACAAATCATTTGCCATCCTATCACATGACCCGGGGTTGTGGGGTAAGTGCAATGAGGCACCGCGACCTCGGCCCAGAGCAGGAGAAGGAACAGGGGGTTTTTAGTCAGTAAGAGTCTGACACGCCGCCTTCTCCGCCCGGCCCTGGGCGGGAGAAGTCATTTGAAGATTTTCCCATCACAAAAATAAATCCTACCACATGAAAAGGACAATTTTGATATGACGAATGTTTCTTCAGGAAAAACGTTACTTTTCCTATATTAATTCTGTACAGAAATAAAAAAGGTAAAGGTCTTTTTCTAGAATACAATTCTAGTTATTCTTTTATGTCAGTAGATTGAAACTAATTAGACCTTTTACAATTTCTCTCATTGCATATGTTATCTTTACTTGTCTAAATATCTTAATAAGAATCTATAATTTTCAAAAAGAAATTTTAAATTACCTATCAAAAATATTAAAAACTGCTTCCGACGAGGATGGGATTCGAACCCACGCGTGCAGAGCACATTGGATTAGCAGTCCAACGCCTTAACCTCTCGGCCACCTCGTCTACGATACAGACGACCAAATATATGTATATATTAGAGAGCCAAGCTTCGACACGAATGAGTTGGCTTGACTGGAGTGATATCACGGCCTCACAGAACGCCGGCGTGAAACAGTTACCGGAGGCACAATCCGTCCCTCTCATCCATCACTTCCCTAAAATATCCGGAACCCTTATTACTACAAGGCTGGCAATGTACTCGTAACTCCTTTGGTGTTGCGGGTGTCTATGGCGGCGGCTGATTGCTTGCTATCAGGTAATCCATCTGCTCGTTTGCCGACCTATACCATCAAAATAGCGTCTAAAGTTCGTAATTGCGTAACTTTGTATAAAACAAATTTTCCATATTGCCCTATTTTTTGCTGGAGTGAATGTTGATTGAATATTCCTCATAAGTATCATCATTATTATCTTGTAACCGTCCCAATGTGGTAAAGTCCTCTTCTAACACGGACAAGAAATACACTGGCATAACATGGATTCGTGATTGAAAACATAAATTTAGAATTAAAAGTCTAGATTTTCTCTCAGTGTTTTTCCTCACCTTATGTCTGCGATATCAAAACATAAAAGCATATATTTAACTATGAAAACGATTATTGATTTTGACTCATGCTCGTCTTGGAAATGGAACATGGAACTGTTTTCATTACAGATACAAGAATTTATGTAGCTGTAAAGGAAAATATTTAATACGGTCGGTCGGCTTAACAAAACGCAGTCAAAACCATAAAATTTCCCTGATGTAAAACAAGTAGTTACCGGCCATCTGCAACATCGGCACGTATATGGCGGTTGTTTAATATTAAACAGCAAATTAGTATGACTAAACTAACGAAATCAATTAACTCATTTTTTTGTCGTAAAACAGGTTTTGTTGTAAGCCGTTCCAGGATTTCGCGGTGACAATCAAGTTCCGCTCGAACTGATAAAACAATACAATGTCGTGTCGTGTAAATATTTAATTCATTCTTTAAATGTCATTACAATACTTATGCCATGCCCATGTGTTTATGGGAGGGACATGATACTTTTATGGTCTTCTTTGTGCGAATGCTTTGCGGTATTTTACGGCATTCATTCTTTTGAAGACTTTAGTTAGGCTTCTAATATAAATCTTGTTCGTTTGTGAAAGCGTCATCAAAGATCGTTGAAGATATATTGGCAACATTAACATAACATATAACACCTGTATTTCTCAGAGGGTATGTTGGAGAATATAATGAGATATATTGTAGATATTTTTTTATATGATAGGAAGGCAAACTAGTCAACGGATTACCTGATGTTAAGCAATCAGCTCAGCCCATGGCAACACCAAAGGAGAATCGAGTGCGTTGCTGGCACTTGAGGGATAAAAGTTTTGGATATTTTATATTAAAGATCTGGGGAGGGATGGGCCTCCGGTAACCTCATTCACATGGCGAAAGACATTGGTGGGGTTGGTTTACGCCGCTTTTCTGTGAGGCCTTTCTGAGGCAGCCATTCATAACAAGCTTGGGTCTCCCATACTCAAATATATAATAAAACCTTAGGAAAATCCTAACAGAAAAGTAAAATAGTGGTGATATCAACTATTACTGCCAAACTTACAGACAGACTAGAGGGTATATTTTGCACCGAAAAAAATTACTAAGGATATAGTTAAGCGAACATTATATGACTCTGAGTACAGCGGTAAGACCGATAAAGTTTCTATCGGTAGTCAAAAATAATACTAAACTCCAAGTACTTAACAAGCCTTCCAAAAATGTACTAGCTAATAGAAATTTAAAAATAAAAATCCATTAGACAACTCAGCAGGTTGCCGTACCTAATCATTTAAGTAGCTACCTACACTATGACTATGTATGACTAGACTACATATATTATAATACTTAGGAGAACCGTGCTGTACTAAATAAGATTACTTACTTACATAAAAGTTTGCGGTTAACCCATAAGCCGGTCAAGTGTCAATTGGTTCCGTCTAAAGTAAGGTTAAATAAAAAATATCCCTTCTTATTCTTCGATAATTTTGGTAGGCGGAAATGTACACTATCATCATCATATCATCATCATATAAGTGCCCACTGCTGAGCAAAGGCCTCTTCTCAAACGGAGAAGGTTAGAGCATTAATCACCACGCTCACTCAATGCGAGTTGGCGATTTCAAACTTATAAATAGAAATTATAAGTCCAGTTTTCCTCACGATGTTTACCTTCAATGTACACTATGTTAAGTCATTTTAAGTAACAATCGACAAAATCCACTTACTAGTAAAATCGGCCAAACATTAGCCAAATGAATGTAAAAGACGAATTGTCATTTTTGCCTTTGTCTTCATTTTGATAGACAGACTTCATCACATTACCTACACAACGTATTTTATTATCTTTCATAACCTTTCTTATATGTAGATATAGGTAATTTGGCTTATGTTCAAATCAAATCAAATTTTTCTTCACTATACCTTTCCTCTCCGTTTGGATGTAAATTATTTTACAATTGGAAAAATAGCCCATTATTCCATCTACAATTAAATTTATCTTAATCTAGTCACGAAAAAAACTTGCAATTCGTAGAAAAGGAAATAGGTACGCAGTTTTAAATTGAGTATAATAATACCATCAAGATAACAGTTACATTGGAGGCTCTCAGTGATTTAGAATAGAATCCGTCTAAGTAAGTAATGTAGAAAACAAACGTGACGGAATGGTTCACTGTCCGTACTTCGTATAGGCAGATAAACCGATAAATACGAAGGCAGATCACGTCACTAGTAACGGTTTTAATAATACGGTTATTCTACTTCTGGATGAAATTTGGAAATTTAGAAACCGTAACAATGGCAAAAAAGTACGCGTGCCGGGTCGTTCATGGTTTCTATACAAACATCACGTCCTGGACTTCTTTTGCTTTAACCACCATCATTTTCATGTTCGCTGGGTTTTGCTTGATGGAAGGTACCGTCTCACTAAGCTGTGCTGCGACTTTGTCTTCGTTGTAAAATATTATGCTCTCATCATCAAAGGCTCAAATGTAGAAGAGAAGAAATGAACATTCAGCATTAGGTACCACGCTTCTTAACGCCAAATTGGTGATTACAAATTTATAATTTTAAATTAACATTTACGTTCATATTATTCCAGTCATTGAACAACGCACTGTGCCAATTTTAACAGAAATTAGTTACCAAACTGGTGTTTGTTAGTTACCAAAGTTCTTGTGGATGACAACCCTGTTTCACTTTTTTTACTGGATCAATATGTGAGGACTAACTCTTTGCTACATCACCAATGACTACTTCTAGTTAACAAATTATGTTTCTTTTTTATGACCTTTCTATCTTGCCTTTATGATGCATCAACTTTATCTGATTGAATTGTTTTCATATTGTTTACTAGCATTCTAACTAGTGCTAGTGGTAGGGTGTATGGTTTCTAAACGAATAAATACCTACCTTTTTGGCGTTTAAAGAAGAAGTTTGGTGGCTGCTCTATGCGATTAGGATTTCTCGCCTTTTATTTCTTGTTCTCTGTCTTTTTTTTTCAATCTGTATTTAAAAGAGCTTATTTGCAATTACACAATAAGTCGCTCCTTACACAAAACAAAAAGTAGGTAATTAAGAGTTTTGAAAAAGAAGAATTAAGCCAAAGATGATCTCCGCCTTAGACCTGTTCTCTGTCTATTGTCTGCTTTGGTACAAAAATAAAAATTTTAATAGTAGTCTGTATAGTTCCACTAACCCTGATAAATTTTTCTACTAGTCTAAATAAAAGTCACTTACAACCGGTTTTCGAAAGGCTGATCAATGCTAAAATCAATTTAATCTCTTGTCAAATCATCTGATTGGTTGACTGAATTATGAACAACCAATCAGATGACTTGACAAGAGTTTTGACACCTAGTTTGTTGATCTTAATATTGATCGGGCTTTCGGCAACCGAGCATTAATATACGTTAATAGATAAAATAGGTAGGTTATGCTAGCACATACTTAATCAAATATTGTGATTTAAAATGTCACAACTCATGACATATTATGTCCTTTTAATAGTATCTAGCCCAAATCATAAAAGATGTGGAAAAACAAAGAAAAAATTAACTTGAAGCAGATCGTTTTTAAAAATTATATCTACCTACGACTAAGTAAATAACTATTTAAAAGCCAAAACACAAATAGATACAAAAGTGTGAACAACTTTTCTATTTATCACGAAGTTGAATACTTTATTTCATCCAATAGTTTGTTTGTAAAATTATTCTTTTTAAAATAATTCGCAATAAGGCTTTAAAGGCTAACTGTCCTTATAAAATCAGTAACAAATTTACTACGTACTAAACTGTTCCTGAAAAATAAAGCAGACTTTTCATCTTTGTTGTTGACGTATGAAAAATGTGAGGATTTTTAAATACATAGAGAATTTATGCCGATCACATAAATGTTGTAAATAAATTATTCTTCAATTTGACAAAGTTATAATACATTTAATTCATTTAATCTACCTTAAAGCTTCAATGAAAAACGACAAAGCGTTCAAACTCTTAAGTACTGCAAAACATTGTATATCCAAAAGTTTACAATCTCACCTGAGTATCGCGACAAGGACGGCGAACTTGCCACCTCTCTCGCAAGCCATGAGTTTTGCATAGTGGCCAGTGGACACCTTACATCAAAACAAGTGAGGTCTTGAGAGCGGGGCGAGGGGACGCGGGGCAGCGCGGCGGGGCGATGGGCGGGCCGGGGGCGTGCGGTGCAGCCTGTCGCGCTGACCTCCCGCCTTGAACGATGCACTCTGCAACACTGCACTACTTGCACCGCACTCATCACTACAGATAACACTCAACCTTTCATAAAATCCAACATCAATAGTAGGCCCGGTAATATTTCAACATTTCCTGTTACTAAACAAAATCACAAATTAATTCATAAAAAAGTAACCTTTTAAACTTGTTTATCTAATGACAACACTAAAATTTGCAAATACTTGATTTATCAATAAACTTAACCTTCGTCACCAAGTACAGTTAGAGTTGAAACCAAAATAACTGCGAGCAGATTTATTCATATACTACTAGCGCCATCTCTTAGCCGGTAGCGTCATCACAGGTCACTCATTCACTTTACAATCTGTTACGAATACACCTAACGTTTGAATTATGCAAATACAAATAATAACAGACCGTTTTATACGAACTCCATATACCTAATTTAATTTTATAGTTATTTAATCTTTGTTTTGTAACCTTGCAAAGTAATTAGAATGATATCTATAAAATTTTATTTCTATACTATTTTCTTTTTGTTACTGTTTTATGGTGGAATAAACCTCTTTAATTTTTGTCGTCGATAATAAATTGCAATGTATGGCTGGGACGGAAGAGTATAATACACGTCAGGTATTATTTGAAATGCAGTTTGTTTACAACTATGACGATGCACATTTACAATTTAGTAATTGTAACATCCGCGGATAGCGGACTCATTTACATGCAAATACATCGACATTATTACTAAATAAAATGAACATCCTGTAGCGTTGCGATCGATTTGCATATTTTTTTATAATATCAGGAAAACAACAAAAGGAGCGTTTGTGAAACGGACGACAGACAATTGTTAGGATTTCCGGAGCAAAAGTAAAATTATTCATAAAATTTAATCAGAACGGACTCATAATCTATCGCGATGATAATTATGTATTATTACGGGCACAATGGATTTATGCAGCTATTATTATACGTGTCTCTGATTGTCATCTTTATGGACAAGTTCCTGCATTATTATTGGGTGGTTTAATCTTAATTAGCATAAAATAGGTAATTTAGCATCTGTTTGCTAATTAAATAAGTTTAGTAATAACCTTGAACGTCTCGTAGGATCAGGATGGGAACTGAGGTCGAATGATAGTAAAATTATTCTTAAGGGGTAAAGTTTTTTTTTACTATTCGTGACAAAGCCGCAAGATTGATTTTTTTAAACTGCGATTTCCAGTCGGCCTGGATAGTGGATCTGCCTGCTAGCCATAAGTTTGGATACCGAATCTTCTTGAATGGTCTTTCAGCCGGGGTTGTAAGTCAATTGAGCAATAAGGTACCGCAGCCTCGGCCCGGAGCAGACGAAGGAACGAGATGGTTTTTAGTCAGTAAAAATAGGACACTCCCTCTTGCCCCACCCCGGGCAAGAGACGTCTTTTGACGACGTTCTCCCCCTCCAAAAAGGCCTCTTCTTGAACTCCAGGGTCAGACTGTCACAGGCTTTTCATGTTAATGATGATTAAGCATTTTTATTTAAGAACCTAACCTAACTTATTACTTAGGGATGTTTTGTTTTACTATATTAGTTTTAATATTAGGTATCTTTATGTAGATTATAAAGAACGAGAAAGGTTTATTGAAAACATTGGTATAAGTACTTACTATCACATTTTTCACAAGGTCTGTGTGGATAACTAAGTAAAATTAATGTACGCGAATTTGCGAATTTTTTTTTTATGATAATTACTCCGTCTCATTCTGCCTGTGAGCTCGCTGACGTTTTCAGGATAATAAAGAACCTACCTGATGTGTTTATTCCAGATTTAATTTTACCGTTTTGTACCAAATTTTGTCCTGATTTGCTCGGTAGCTTTGATTTGTATGAAAAGGGTAACATTGGCCTACCCATACATAACCATTATTAGCCTATAAGTGCCTACTACTGAGCCAAGGCCTCTGCTCATATAGAGAAGGGTTAAGCATTATTAACCACGGTTGTTCAAGTCCGACTGGCGATTTCAAACTTATAATTTTAAATTAGAAGTCCAGATTTCCTCGCAATCTTTTCCTAAACCGTATGTTAGTGGTGTCTAAGTAATCTTAGAAAGTATTTAACTCGGAATAGGTCACATTGCTACTTACTAGGTTTCGAATTCTCGTGCATGTGAAGCGACGCCTTAACCCCGGGGCAACCACGAAAATTATCAATTAACACAACCATCCATAGAAAATATTAATCAGTAGTAAGTAGGTACACTAGCTAAGCATCTGGTCTTCCAGCCTGCTATGGTGACCGTTTAACTTTAAACTGTAACTTAGTTTTGTTACTACTGATAAAAGTTTAAAAAATATGATTAGAACACCTCTATAAAAACATTATTAGCATATACATACACACACTAAGTCAATGAACATATACATTAGTTACAACTGCAATAATTGTCATCAACTTTAATTAATCACTTCACGAAAAAGTAAAACAATGTTCTATTAACATAGATGTATTAAAATGTATTAAAATATAACATGAGCAGAGTGACAAACGGTGTCGGCAGGGTTATGTAAAAGATGTTATCGGCCTCGTCACCTGAACGGAAGCGAGACGGTGTCACTAACACAAAAACCACATTAGCACCCCAATTATAATTACATTGTTATTTATGCACGTTGATCTATCAAAGTTTACAAACAAGCCCGCTATCTCTTTGATCACATGTTGAGGGAAAACAGAATTATGCTCTACGCTTTTACATAACACACTGAGATGGATTCCTTTTTATTTATCCAGTACACAATACACGCAATAAATAAGTACTTTATACAATTTCAGTTATAAGAATTCCCCGAAGTCGGTATTAAAAATTGTATATCGAAAATGTTACTTTAACGAAAGAGCTAGATAAACTCGTCCAGATGTTTCAACGCCAAATTATTTCGTGAACAGTAAATCTTATTTGAAATAAAGTATCCGTGTATTATAAACACCTGCGGCTGAATAAACATACATGCAGGTAAATCAGAATGGTAAATGACTAACTGTAATATAAATATCTGAAATAGTAAAACTAGTAACATGCGTTTGAATCAAACAATCTTTCAGCCGCTTCCACAAAGCTTAGCATTTTAAAATGAATCCGGTGAAGATCGTAAAATATTCGATAAACAGGGCGTGTATGTTTGCTTTCGCCGAGTTTAACATTGCTATTAAACAGTCGTGAAATGGACAGAAATAATCGGGTCGATCCGTTATATCGCATCATTCGTATGACGCTGGCGTCGGCAGACGATGCCCATTGCTATGCTGGCCGGAGCGCGCGCGACTCCCGCGATCACACGATTACTTTATTCCTCAAAACTTATACCTATGCAGATACACAGCTACTTAACCACCAACACGGAAAACGCCAATATATTCACAACACCTTTCTCTTTTTTTGCAATTTTCTTTTAAGCGGCAATTGGATACATAATTATGGTAGGAATGCACCATTTAGTAAGAAGCCAGTGAGGTGGCAGTACGCAATGGCGGCATGGCTCTTCGATGCTCAATCGCAAAATTTGTGAATGTTTGATGGCGGTAGCTGCGCTACGTCCCCGCACCAGACGGCTTTGTTTTTGTGAGTCGCGACGCGCGCCTGCCGGCCGGCCTTTTGCCGCCGATTCTTTAAATCGACCGAAACAATACTGGGAACTAGGACATTTCGCATCAAACACATACCTGTCTACTTTGAAGATGACGTATGCTCGTAAACGGCTACGCCTGCTTTTGTTTGCAAATTGGTTTTAATGTAGGTAACCAACAGTTTTAGTGCAATGCTACAGCTGCGCATAGGCTGCAGTAGACCAAGTGAACGTTTGGCTGAGAACCTCTGTTGTACCTTGTTGTCATACACTCACTTGTCGAAGCAGCTATAAAAAGGAGCTGTGCTAAACATGAATGACTCCTGGTAAGATGGGATGTATCGCATAGTAGCGAACGATTTAATCGCGTGATTCAGTTGCGCATTAGGAGTGCGGCGGCGGCGGCGTGGGGCGGCGGTGAGCGGGGCGCGCTCGGTGCCTCCCGCGGCGCTGCGCCCGCTCCGCTACTTTTTATCCGTGCATGCTCGGCTCGTGTCTTTTTCGCTCTTCCCGATTGGAATTCGTTGAGGGATCGCCGCTGCCGGTGGCAGACGTCTTGTGACATGTCAGCGGCGGTACGTGCACTGCGTACAAGGCAATTAACCAGTCATCTCACTCGAATCCACCAGTCGGCCGGAATCTCCTCACAGCTCGAGAGTTGTTTCTGCGGAGGCTCGTCTTTATTCAAGGAACTACCGTGAAAATACTTCGACACAGAAATCGTTAATTGATCTCGTTAATTGTCCTTTTTTGGGAGAACATCTTGTAAGTATTTCACTTGAGGGCTTTTTCACCGTTGTAAGTATTGGACATGATCGCATCCTGTCAATGCGTGTTTATTTAATTTCGGAAACGATCGTCCTGATCCGATTTCTTATTAGGATGTGAATCAGAGAACAATAATTTCAAAACCTAGTTCCCCTACCACATCAGTTGTACCGTAATAATATGAAACAGATCTAGGTAAATGAACACATCGCATGCATGCAAATATTTACAGTTACTCATACGAAATTCCAACACCATTGCGTGATCTGAAAAGCAATCTGACGTTTTCCTTGTGAACAGAAACGAGAGCCTTTAAAAAGCATTTCGTGCTATTTCGTGGCGGTAGCGGAACAATGACAGTTCTTACAATAGAAACTTATGTCCGACAAAAGGAAAGGGCGAGCATCGACGGAGCGTGTGAATGAAAATAAAAGATTAAATAAATAATGGAGACAAATCATGGCGACCAACTTAGATACAGCGAACAAAGTACCTATTTCTAATTCATTGACGTGTTCGTATTGCTCGCGCAGTCCTTTGGTTAATTACCCCTGGCTTCCTTAATAAGTAAAGGCACACTTGACTACTCGCTACATAACTGCGTAATGATTTTTTCTAGTACGTGGATAGCAGAAAATGTGAGGTCTGGTTATTTTGTTATCGTTGTCCCGTTCAATGTAAATAAACTGACTACGTCTTGTGGTCACTATTGTAACTAGGTACTGTGCTTGAAGTCCTGAATTGGATCTTCACTCGGACAAAATATATCCTTTACAATTTCTAATGTTACCGGAAGCCCAATACTGCGCCTCCCCCCATCCCTCCTCAATCCCAAAATCTCGGAAACCCTAATCCCGAAAGGCCGGCAACGCACTCGTAACTCCTCTGATGTTCATGGGCGGTGCTGATTGCTTACCATCAGGTAATCCGTCTGCTCGATTGCACATAAAAATGCCAAAAAAATTTTTAAAAAAATTAAAAAACTAGATTTCTACTACTCTCAACTACAATAGCCGTGCTGGAGTGTCACCAAATCGGTCACGTATATTAATAGCATTGCTCCCAAGTGTACAATCGACATTTAAAAATACGATAACAGAAATGGCATGAATACAATGTTAAATTGTATTTATTAGAGTGTATTATTATCGCCTTTGAACAATAAGTACGTGAGTACGTATAGACAATTATGGTAAAGTCTGGTAAAGGTGTCGTCGAGGTGCAGAGCCGACTACTACATGTGTTACCGGCTTGCATAGTGGATGCAACAGGGCTATCCGTTCACACTTTGCACCGTAATAACTTATTATTAAATATGAGCTCATTTAATTGCTCTTCCATAAAAAAATTGAATGTTAAATAAAGTCATAATCTCGTGCGGAGACTTTCATCAAAATCTGTTCAGCGGTTTTGGTGTTTTTGTGTGACATAATTCTAAATTTAATGTTTAGAAAATAGAGATTTAGGTAGTAGGTTTCTTAGCATCCGAATGTCGTCCTTCATTTGTAGCGTATGTGCATAACTTTACTACTCAAAATATACAATATGTTGTTGACTAGTGAATAATAAATAGTAATCAAATAACTAGTTATAAGTACTTGTACATATCTCTCTATTAATTCAAGTAAGTATTCAAATAAGTAGAAAGTATGTGACAAATAATTAAATAATCACTGACTGTGCCAAAGTACATTTGAATACGTAAATAAATGTATGCTAGCCTATGTTTTGTTATCACGCTGTAATTTGCAAGCATCGTCACGACCTGCTTATCATATCATTAATATTAATCATATGTCCACACAAAAATATGATGAATATTTTGGTGAAGTCGCGAATATGCGGCCATAATATTAAAAATAATAAAAAATGTGTCCGCCGAATGCCCCGGTGGTAGCCCTTGGAATAACAGAAAGAAGCCGCTTGCCTTTCCATTGAATCAAATTCATATATTTTGAGATTCAGTCGCCAATTTCATTTGTACAGCTAGGAAAAAAGGTTCAATAAAACACCTGCTAGTAAGTTGTATTATTTTAAGTGCTTAAACAGATTTCAGTGGGAATCATATAAAAAAAAGAATAACTTAAAATGAAATAGAAGTGGGAATTTAATTGTGGTTTGTTACAATGTTAGTTTTACGCACATGTATTAAAGCTAGTAGCAGCGTGCGCAAATTATTATAAACAACATACAAGTGCACTAGGTTTATTGCCGAGCAGAGTGCTCGTCGAACATTGTAATAGGCAATGACACATATTGTTCTGACGGTACATTCCGCGGATTGTTTTATTGGATTATGCGGCGAGGCCGCGAAGCAGCTATAACTATTCAGTGTCGTCTTTTGTGTTATGGAAAAACTTGTTCTTGAACCCATGTAGTGTGAAAGTCTCGTTTATTTGTGCAGTTTAATGTTACATATGTACACATATTATCGGGTGCGCGGCGCGGCTGTCAACAGAGCGCGATGCGCCCGCGCACCGCGCATCGACACTGCGCACACGCCGGCCGCGTTGTTAGCGTGGACAATGCCAGGCTCACACAGATCCCTCATCATTACCCTTTTCATTTTTCAACTTCTTTACTTTTCAGTTTTGTCTTCCAATTAAGTATAGTTAAGCAACTTACTTATAGAGATTTATGATTTAGACACTTCCATAGATTTCGTAACCGCAATAAAATGTTTCCTTGTGTGCCTGGTGAAGATAATTTGTCAGAATTTGGAGTTCAATTAATATTCAGTTAGAAAACGAGACCTTTTGTACTTGTTGTACAATACCAACGGAACCCTGCGAAGCCTTATTCAGTCAGTCGTCGACTAATGTTTATTTGGACATATTTATGGCTATAGTTCCGCTTTTTGTGCAGATGGAAATATGTGTGGCGGATCGCACGTCTGCGTGAGATTTCGGACACCTCTCCGCTTACTAAATTTAATATCGTCGGCTTTTACGCCGACGACGAACCAAAAAAAAACTATGAAATCGCCATTGTGTCGGCGACACGAACGGCAGTTCGCGCCTACCGGCCACTCATGAAAATTATTTTGTTTTTATCGCAAAATGTATGTTTATGATAACACCTGTTTCGCTGATGCCTCCGCGATCGGTGTCAGTCGAAGCTTGTCTCGATTTTTTGCCAATTTAAGGACTATAAAGACGCCCGCATCGTCAGCTAATTTTAACCACTGTTCACCGAATTACGCATTCGTTTGCTCTTGTTCGAGGGACGGCCCCTGCCTTGCTTGTGTAAGGTACGTTTGATATAAAATGAAATTGCACTTATTGAATATCTATTTTATCCTTGGTTTTTTTTTTGTATAAATAATCGGAAAATTATCACTTCGTGTTTCATTCAAACGTATAATTAGATGCCTATATTTCGATGAAGACAATTCATATTTATTAAGAAATCAATCGCATAAATCTTAGTTTATGTCAACTATAATGATGCGGTTGTCAAAGGACAGCCGCCGCGGCCACGGTCCAGCTTTTTGCATAATTACGTCGATGGAATGCCGTCCCTTTAATATGATAACAAAGAAAGATGACCGACTATATGATTGTTGAAATTTATAGCCGTGCCCAACAAGAGATGTTAGTCGCTGATTGTGCGAACTATGGAGGCTTGGGAACCATTGCTCCATTCTTGATATTCCATTGACTATCATATTTCTTGAAGACAAACAAAGCGCTGCATTATAAACTGAACAATATTCCACTTAGTGTAAACTCACGCTTTATTAACTTGAAGGTAATCGTGGATCTTGTAAAGAGCGCAGACATAGATTAGACCCGCGAGAGTGAATATGTCTATTGGCCTGTTCGAATTGATAAACAACATGAAATCAAAGATAGCGAAACTCTCCTTAGCGTATGGTCTACGAGTTATATATTTTCGTAACGCAATCCATAAGAAACACTACAATAATCGTACATTTCTCTTGACAAAGTCCCTTTGAATAAAGAGAGTTAAGGCGAACAGATACAATGTCGAAGATTTGTTTACTCAGCGCTAAGAGGCCAACATTGCGTGATTACCTCCTTGGAGCGACTGCTTGAAAAATAGACTTTCTTGCCTAGAAATAAAAGGAGAAATTTGCTCTCTCGCAAGCACGAGTCTGTATCTATGTGCAGATAGCGCACCGGTTCGCAGCCGCTCTTGTGGGGTTAAATTAGTACGTACTCAAATGTCATCGCTCACTATGATACCGCAATCAAAATTGACGTGGGAAATATGCTCGTTTGTGACTGGGGGTACGTAGCTGATGTCTATAAATATTTCAATATAAATTATAGGTATCAATCGCTCTGTTAGATGGCGACGTTGCATAATTCAATCATAATGCTGTCAAAGTATGCGCTGCTGTCGTTGCCCCTACTGCGCGGTTATGCACCGATTATGAGCGAAGGACTTTGAGTATTAAATATGGTGAACGGCTGTAATGCATTATGGCTCGATACTAGTAAATGAATATGTGAAGTAAAAAGTGGTTTGTACATGTCATAATAACTGGAAAAGCTAAAGCAATGAAACAGGTAGCTCACAGTATGCAGTGTCCGGGTGCTGGTACGGGATGCGAGCGCTCGATCACCACCACCTTCCTGTTTTGATGCCTGCTTTTTATACTGTGTACTCGCCTGCATTCATTACTGTGAGTAGATCAAATAAGTTCACAATATTCACAATAACTGTACTTTCTAACAATGAAAGTTGGAGGCTCGGAGCTGAATAAATAAGTGAACCGTGTGACTGGAGTCAAAATTATAATGAAGGAGTGTGACTTCAAATTTCAAAAACAGTGTACTTTAAAATCCAGATATCGAACCTCTAATTTATCAAACAAACCACATAATATTCGTCTCTTTCTAACAAAGATATGTAAGTTTACAAAACGAAATATTCAAATTTAGAAGCGTGGGTACTTACTTCCATTCAAGAACCTACCTATATTAACTTGGTTGATACAATGTATTTGTTATGTATCGAGATCTGAATACTCCCAGGGTCTACATGATTGTATTCTCTTATAAAGAACCAGTGCTTGCCTTACAAAATTGACATCCAAATCAGATTAATCCAATCAATGGAAATTTATGACGCACTGGAGAGCGAGCCGCGTGCCATTGAGAGATCGGAGCAGGGTCTTGCTAATCAGTTCGCGAACAAACTATTGCCTGTTGCTTATGTAGCATTTTTATCCTGTTCCGAAATGTTTTTAACGAAGAAATTTAATCAAAATTTAAATATTATGCTTTAGGTAGCTTATTCTGAAAAATACAATTCAAACGTCTACACGTAACAATATACTAGGTATATTTACCTATACGGCTATACCCCATGCTGTTCATTGCACTGTTGTCAAAACGTAATCCAAAAGATATTTTTTAAACCTATATTTTTTAATCTTGTGCATATTTTCGGACTTAATACTTCCTTTTAATTTTAGTACTTTCTGCAAAGCGTTTTTATATAAATCTAAACTAGTTCACACTATGAAATGCAATGTAATCTAATTTGAAACAAAAGAAAGTCTACAAATATAATTATATTCAAGTCATGTGTAGGCTTGAATAATGATTATGTTTATATATTGTGTATCTGTATTAATTCAATTGGATTTCCGAACATCACTGTTACACTAAGTATGAATTTGATTTCAGAAATTATTCGGAAATTTGCCAACGTCTTCGAAAATCACACAACGTGTGTTTTTGCGGCAATTACAGAGACGTGCAGAGCGGTCGCCTTCTTTGCAAACATGTCTTTGATTTATATGTCTGCTTTCGGCTCACGGGATGAGAGTAAAATATGAGACGACCCATCAAATATTCAGCCTTTTTGGGACGCAGGAGCGATTCTTAATGCTCATTATAATAAAAATACGATAGTTCATACTGAAATATATAACGTACATGTTGCCTACGTTGGTATGTCAGTCCCATTTTGGGAGTTAGCAAATCTTTATTTGTGGATTGCATCGTTTTGATACTTGCTAAGAAAAATGAATGAGAGTGCACTGAAATACGCCATTTTTATAACTCCTGTTGTTTAGAAAGTTATTTGAAAAAATTTATAGCCAAAAATTGTCCCTGACTGTTTTTTTTGTTGTCACATATCATCACTAGCCTTTAAGTGCCTACTGCTGAGCAAAAAGGAAGGCCTCTTTTCACATGGAAAAGGCATTTGGATTAATCACCACACCTGCATAAGGCGAATTGGTATATTTAACCTAATAATTAGAAATTATACCCTCTAGTATGAGAAGAGGGCGCTTTTACCTCCAGGCCGCCACGATAATTAACTCTTCCCATCTACATATAGGTATGCAAAACCTAGTTATTGCTCCCTCTTAGATACGAAATGATTACATTTTATATTGTTTATTTATTAGAACATACTTGTTTAGGTCGTCTATCTTCCATACACTATATCCATTTTTAATTAATGTGAAATAATTTACGTAATAGGTATATTTATTTCTCTGTATTGTTTTTTTGCATGTATAAATCAATGTCGTAATTGTATGAGAAGTTAACTGAAAACTTTAAACACTTAATCAGAATGCGTCTAATGTTTTGATTACTGAACAAGTTATAGTGAAATTTTGAAAGACATTTAAATGAGGTCATGTAGATATCTATAATTAAAGTTACGTATTTGAATAATATATTTATAAAGTATCAAAACCCCTCGGTCTGTTGGAGACAAGTTGGTTATATTTCATCAGGACTTGTTGTCACATGATCCGCGGGGAGATTCATCTTTAATTGGGTGAACCGGGACAAGCTGCGCCTTACATTGTGGACCTTTATTAGAAGCCTGGTAGGGTCCACGGTCATACCTGCCTGTACGAAATTTTGAATAAAAATATACAGAACAGAATGGCAGTACTATGCCTTTTATACTGTGTGTGTGAGATTAGTAATTAAAGCTAGATTTTCTTTGTACGAGATAGGCTGGCAAACCTGATGGTAAGCAATCAGCGGCCATAGATACTCGTAACACCTATATAAGAAGTTACAAGTGCGTGGCCAGTCTTTTGTATTGTTAGTAATACAGCGGTATCTGCCGCGGTTGCGGGGTAAGCGCAATGAGGCACCGCGACCTCGGCCGAGAGCAGGAAAAGGAACAGGGGGGGTTTTTAGTCAGTAAGAGTCTGACACTCCTTCCCACCCAGCCCTAGGCGGGAGAAGTCATTTAAAAAGAGAAGGGGTACCTGGAGATAATTGTTGAAGGCTTTTGACTTTTTTTTGAAGTGAAGGAATGCTTGGGCCTCCGGCAACCTCACTCACACGACGAAATACAACATAAGTTTTTTTTCATGCCGGTATTCTATGAGCCCGTGTGTCACACCGTTCGAGCCGATCCATTCGTACCAAATCATGGTTCTCCCACACTTGATGTATGCACAGGGTGAACAGGCTCAGCTCCTACAATTTAGGTCATAATATCTAACAATAATGTATCTTAAAAGGTCCTTGCTTCCTATGGACACGGTCAACTACTTTCAGGAAATGAAACGCGTGATTATATTAGTTTTTAAAAGTAATTACACATACGGTAATCCCTTACGGTATCCTTGTCGCAAGCGTGGATATGTCAACTGGCGGCCATTACGATTCTACCTGTCATCGCTGACTCGTGACGCGCAATTAAAACCAATATTTATGGTCTTATTAGAAGGCATAAATATAAGCTGACATTACTCAACATGATGGTCGCTGACACTCTTCAAATAAATCATTGCGAATGTCACACTATGTAGGTTATATATGGTATGTATGGTAAAAGGGCTATCGTTTAACTGATGTTTTTCCTGTTTATTTTACTTCTATTGAAGCTAATTGCTAATTGCAAAAGTTTGAGTCACCGTATGATTGCAATATGACTGCAAAGATTCGGCCAAAATTGGACCAAGGTTTCTACTGACACTGACAGTAAGTCACCATAGATGCCCAGACAGGGTTGCGGCTCAGCTCGGAAGCGTATAAAGAACGTGGTTTTTAGGCAGAAGAGTATAAATTACTAACTTTCCCTTTCACCCCACCTAAAGCAAGAAAAACAATAAGATGATTTTTACTCCTAAAATACAAAATTAAGACACTTTATGAATAAGTAGAGTCTAAGTAGTGATCTGATTTTCAGGTATTACTTCTAATCTTAAAAATTGAATGTTAATATGGTAATAAAATCTTATCTTTGGTAACTGTTGCTCGCATTAATGCCCAAACAATATCTTTGTACTGAAGCTTTATTTATTTTCACAAACCTTTTTTTATATTTCATTATTTTATTTACATTCCCAATAGCAGTGCAGATGTAAAAAAACCGGATTCATGTTTCACTTACTTGGGTTCTAGCTATTAACTAATGGTTACAAACGGACATGATGTAAAGAGAAGCTCAAATTTATTAAGACGCATACAGCTACATATTCAGTAATTTATACAAACAACATCAACTTTAGTTATTCAAATATGCAATGCGAACCTTATTACGGTATTCCAACATGTTTAGCTTTGTACATCGAGTTTTTCTTCAATATATGGAATATAGTTATTCCGTGAAAAATTAATTGATACCAGATCCAGTGATCACTTTTGGTCATCCAGCTGTGAAGCTAAAGGACGCAATAGACCTGATTGCATACATCACTTGAGGATAGATACTGGATTAATCTTAATTTTATTCTGTGTAGAATTATACTGTATGTTTGTTTGACATAATATGTGTATGTACACTATAGTTTACGATCGCTTTCAAAATTCTTCTCCGTAGAATTGCAAATCTGTCTTTTAAGAATAACTTGACCCCTAAAGCATTTGACCTAAAAATGAAAG